AAAGGCTTTTGCAGAAGTCAATAAACTGAATGAATCACAATAGTGTTTTCAATGTCTAGCCAAATTTCATAATTAGCGTTGCATGGTCTTCGGTAGCTACTGTATTAACAGAAACGTAGAGCTTGATTCACACTATGCCAGTCTGCGCGCATGGTCCATTAACCTGCGTCCAGCCTGAAACCACAGCAAGCTGTCCGTGCTCGGTGAAGTAGAACGTCACAGACTCTGAATCCCCCCTCGCTCGAACACGTGGTCCACAATCAAACGTGAACACCCCCTCCCCTCGCCTAACCAGCACAGCCACAATCCAAACTTTTACACTTCCTTCTCCTCACCAGCACAAACTATCGTCGCATGAGTCCTGTCACCGTAACCCTCCACCCCCCAATCCCACCCTCCGCCCAGAAACTTCTAGTGCGACATTCCCAGTTCTCACTTTTCGTTTATATTGACGACGAGCAGGTGATATCTATGCGAAAATTCATGAGTACACCTCGCTTCACTGAATATCTTCTTTCTTTTCGTCGTATTCTCTCGGAATGTAACTTACTTCTCCAATCCATTTTGTACTGTAATGTGAGAGATGTAAGTGGCGCACTTCCGCAGAACTTCCAAGATAAGACGTAAGACGAAACATGGGTGCAGCACGTTCATGTCAGCTACAACCGGAATATTTAAAATCTAGAAAGTCACGAAAATGTGGTAATTGTCTGTTATCTATGTCGTCCCTTAACGTTTAAAATTGTTATATTTATTTTGAAATTAGTCTATTGCTGGGGGCGTTCGCCGGGCCATCTAAATATAATATCGGATATAGGTAGTGTAAAGTCCTTTAGGATATGAAATATCATATACGGTCTCGTATGCCTTCGTTTTGTGAGTCCATCTTACCAAATAGGCAGTTTTATTGGGGCGGGAAAAACTGCGATAAGCGAAATTGCATCCATGAAATTTTTATTGGATTTTTTCAAATATTACCTGCGAAATGAGAGGCCTTTTAAGCAACTTGCGAAAATTCCTCATTTAATTTTTTTCAGAATTTTAAGTAAACCTAGGAAAAACAGGTATCAACTCGACCTTTTGAAATCCCAATGGAATGTGGTCGAGTTTAAACGTGCCATAAATGTTGAATTCCTTTGCTCCTTGAGAATTATTTCAGAAGATCTGAATTCCGGCAGCATAAACAAATATGTCTACCAAAATATCGTGTCCTTTTATTCTGATTATAGTTCCTAGGAATGTATATGTTTGAAATAAAAACAGGTAATTAGGTGCGCTAAAGCATTGCATTTACTCTAACATGTGAGCTTTTTTGACAATCTCCGAAATTGACGAAGAGTGTGAGTCAAAATTGTTGGAGACGTTCTAGGAGGAGTTCCTTTTGGTGAGTACATAGGAGTAAGAAGGTTTCCGCTTGAGTAAAACCATGTATTAATCTCTGCTGAGTCCTCTGCTCGCCGATAAAGGAAAATATTGCACATCGAATATTTTTGAAGTATAAACATATGCATATATATAGTTGAAAATGGAAATACAGACAGTTCAAGAATGCAAGCAATCAGTCTGACTTTCAAGTTTTGAGCGTTGAAATACGATGGACCGAGACCATAAAATGCGCATACGAAATAAAAAATAAAAACCACCAACGTAGCCTTACTGAATAACCATATCGCTCAGGTCAATAGAATGTCTGTTTTGCCCATGATTGGCCCTGGTTTTGTCCCTAAGGGAAATCGTAGATGGGGTGCAGGCGAGAGAATTCAGAACGATAGCATCAAGTAATGGGCTGTAAGGGGCTTGGAGGGCAATTTTCTTGTCAAAATTCGCTATCAGCGCCTTGTCTAGGACGTCCGTACAGACACGATCCGACGGAGGTTTCCAGGCAACCTGCGGCGAAGGGATCGAATTCTGGGGAAGCGATAGCACTAAAGGAATGTCAGAATTAAGCGGTGAGCTCGCACCCATCTGTTTAATGTTGCCACAATCAAGGACGCCGGATGTCTGATGAGCAGAGTCTGCAACCGAGACGCCAGTCACCTCCTTCAACTTGTAGTACAAAGCCGACCGTAAAAAACGTATGTAGGGATCCTTTTCCATCAGGGCCTCAATTCGCTTCTGGCAGGCATCAAACAGATCAGGCTCCGCCTCTGCCAAACGGGATTCAGTTTGTAACCTTGTCTCACAGTCCAGATTCACCTATTTTTAATTTAAAGGTTCGCATAGCGGTTTTAGTTTGGCATACAGGAATAATTTAAAAGTGACAAACGGTAAGACTTTGGTTTTGAATAGCGTATACTTTTCAGAATACATTTTTGTTTCTTAATTTTTTTGGGAATGTTTATATAAACATGTGGTGCTACGTAAAGAACGTTTCAATTTCTAGAATACTGCAATACAAGCAAATGCTCTAACCAAATTCAGAGAGGACTTCTCCTTTGGGCTATTAAAATGTGTTTTTTAAATGTTCCTGATATGCAGCACGAAACGCAAACAATGTCAAAAGAAAAGAGTGTATTATTTTAAAAAATACAATGTAAACTATCAAAAAAGATAATTCCTGACCCTTTTTTACAGGATTCTCCTATCTTTTCAATGCTACTACACACTGATATGTGCCATGTCCCTCGCCCACGCTGTTTCTAAAGAACAAATAAAAGCGAAACCTTTGAGCTTAGACAGATCAAAACACTGCCCAGCGTTCGAACCTTTATGTTTCTTCTTTAATTCTATTAAAATAAGTTGTGTTCTGCTCAACTCCCTCTAACGTAAGCAATTTCGTGTTGCACGTGATCAGATTTAGTAAAATAGGTGTTTTCAAAGAACTGCGCTTACTTGAATGGCATTCTGTATCTCGTACTAAATGAGTATATTGATGTAAAGCCCTGTTGAAGCACAATTTGCCTTCTACATAGAGAGGAATTAACTTGATCAAAAAACGTCTGCCTTGGATTATGCACCGGGTTTCAAATTCATCTTTTTGCAAAAAGAAACGAATGCACATGGAGGTGTGTCCAGCTCTCCCCAAACTATTTTCTTGGAAGGGATTCGTTTGAATTTATTCACAAAAACAAAGATTATATGCAAATACAATTAACTCCTTGTTATTTTTGTGCCTATCATCTTTAAAAAGCTCCATTGTGTCACTGATCCTGCCTTGCACGACGGGGCATGCAGGGTGCATAGATCCGTAGCCAACCAAAAAGATTGGCAGCTATTAATGTGGTTTTGGGTTTGAAAGGGGTATATTTGTTTCGCAGACGGCTTAGTTAAGCACAATTCTATGTACTGATTCTAGCAAATGTCATTTAATTTGCCTGGGAAATAAACAAAACAATGAATAGCCTCAGTGAGTTGATGTACCTTAGAGCGCGATGTTTAACTAGGCCGTTTGACAAGGTTTATTCTTATATAAAACAGAATAAGGTAGAAAGGTGTATCCAGTTGTGTCACAAAATGGATAATTTTAAATATCTTGTTTCCAAAATACCCAGTTTACCCGAATAAATATGAGACGAATGGACAAATTTAAATGCAATTTAGCCGCTAATGGATTAAGAAAATTACATGAAGTACTACATTGCGTTAGTTAAAAGCAGTTATACTTCAGCTTATGAAACATTTTTACAAGGAACTACTGAAGATAAGTTAGCGATCCACGAAATACATATCGTATGTATTGGAAACCAATTAAAAGGGTGAGTAGAGATCGCAAAAGTAAGCGTTTGATCAGTATAGTCCACAGATGCACCAGTGAGAGGACAGTTCGATGAATTGTTTCCTATTGGCCGTTGATGTAGTTGATCTTTGGCCATTTATTCAGGCAACGATTATCGCTTGATAGGGGCCTCCTCTCTTCTCCTCTATTGGCAACGATTATATCTTGAAAATATAAGACTGCATTAGGCTGTCTTGGCTGGTCCCTGCAAAGCGCAGACGCCCGGCAAAAGAAGGCTACCATTTGTCAAAACCAAACTGTAAAACTTTGCCTATCAACTATGCACTTTTTGTTTGACTAGAGAATAATATTTACGACAGACAATTTGAGGCTATTCGTCTAGATAAAATTGAGTCAGACTTCTATCCGTTGAGGTTTTT